AGGCCGTTGCTCGATCCGAGATGGTAGCACGGAATTGTAGGAGTGAGACCGGTAGAGTCGGAGTCGGTCCTTCTAGACATACGGAGGGATCAATCGGCCATAGAGAGCATGCCATACGTATGGTAAAAAAAAATATTATTTAATTTATTTATAATTTTTTTAAAAAATAATAACCAAAATAATTAATTAAACATCCGACTATATTTAATACATTTACGTTTATTTATATATGTTTTTAGCGTAATGTGTTGGGTCGTGAACCCGATCCTCACGAGGTTTTCTTGAGGACTCATCGGAGAAAGGTTAATGATCGGTTAGTCTTTGTCGAGCAACGGTCGAGGGTTATCGAGTAAGTGATAAATTTGAAACATTATTTAATATATGTTAGTTAATAACGTTATTTGACAATCGTATTTGATGTGACGTGTTTCATAATTATACGAGAGACCGTACAAAGATTAATTAATGGGGAAGAGGTTGCTAGCCGACGATCGGGAGGGACCGAAGCGACCGCACCCGACATTAATGACATCTTTCAAAGGGTCGTTGGTGGAGGAGATAGTAGGAGGAAGATGATGTACGGACTCGGCTCACATGCATCTCACTATTATTCAAATGTCAATGCGGGGTCATCTTCTGCTACTTCCGGATTCAATGCGGTCGACGAGGCACGGTTGAAGGAAATTCAAGAGCAAACATCCGCAAACACGACGCACATCCACAACTTAGAGGGTACCGTGAGCGACCTACGGGGCCAAGTGGCATCGTTGTTGGATACCACGATTGAGTTGAGAAACAATAGTCGAGAGCGGTTTACGATGATGTCACGGATGCGACGGATGTTCATGCGGCATTTTGAGCGTGGGGGTAGTTCATCCGTCGTTCCCGAGACCGACAACGACTCGACCCGGCCTCCGGACGACTCCACCCGGTCTCCGACCGATCCTAGACATTAACCTATTTTAGATTTTATGTTTTCTTGTATTAACCGCAATCGATGTACTTGTTTTTTTTATTTAACAATAATGTAATTGTTTAGCGACATTTTAATACATTTTGAATAATAAAAATTTACGTTTACGATATTTTACGAGATTTTTGCTACCTTAAAATTGTTACTTTGACCTCATTTTATTATTGTTTTAAATAAATTAATTTTTCAATTAGCAACGGTCTTAGAAACGGTCCGGACCGTTGCTAATCTGTCGCTATTTAGAAACGGACTAGACCGTTGCTAATGCTGTCGCTATTTAGCAACGGTCCGGACCGTTGCTAAACCATCGCTATTTAGCAACGGTCCGGACCGTTGCTAAACCATCGCTATTTAGAAACGGTCATACCAAGGGTTTACGGAACCGTTGCTAATGTCCTAACTTGTTTACATCGACATTTAGCGACGGAATAGCAACGTTTTAGACCGTCGCTAATTTCGCAACGGTCTAAATCGTTGCTAAAAAACACCGATGAGGTTTTTAGCGATGGTTACTTGATCGTCGCAAAACCGTTGCTAAAACGTTTTAGCAACGATTTTTTATTTAGCGACGGTTTTGCCGGTCGCTAAATTCCATTTATCTCGGTAGTGTCAATGGATAAATACATTCGTGAGACTTGGTGCAAGGATCCATGCATTAGACAGCTTGGGACTTATGCTGAGGCTATGTTAGCTTTTGGAGCCGATTTGTGCCTCGAAAGATATCGTTTAGTTAGCTAGCTGGATTGGAACCTTCACGGTTTTGTCTCGTAAAAACATCGATCTTTCCTTAAAGCCTAAGCCCCTCTTGGTTCGTATAGAGATATGGGACTGTATGCACCTAACATACTTGACCCGTAAGGTACGAGAGAGAACAGGTTAATTTTGAATGCAAGTTCTACCATTTCCACCTTCCAAAACCACGTACATCTTAAGTCCATGACAATCTTCGTACATGGGAATTATTATGTGAGGTGTGGAGATCTTCATGAGAAGTCCTCGATGATATTAAGATTCTTAAACTATATACATAGAAGATGTCTCACGAATTTAAATTAATACAAATAAGCTATTACGTAAACCTAGCTACGTATCTTTTAGAATTTAAATTTCTCGTTATAAAAAAATAAAAAACAAGATTATGACTAAGTATTCGTAAATGCATTGCTAGTAGAAGTATATATGCTAGTGTTGGTATGGATAAACTTTTCAAGACCCAACAAGGAAACTCACTTTTTTGTATTTATATACGAAATGTGGTTCGAAGATATTAAAAGAATTAAATTCCAACGTTAATGAACGCCATGAAAGCATGAATTTGAAGGTGTATATTAAATGAAAATCCAGTGTTAGCCCAATACATTTTTTTCTTCAGTGGATGGTAAGTTCGAAAAATGGGGACATTTTCCCGTCCTGCAAGGAGCAAAACTAGGATCGGATTAAGATTTGCTTAAAGCACAAGAATGTTGGGACCGTTATGCAATATTGTAAACACAGATCTCTTTTTCAGAAACATAATGTCTTTTTTATCTGGGCCTAATACATAAAGTCTTTTTGATATAAATTGGATTGCGTTGCTTTAAAAGAAACAAAAGGTAATAATCAAGTAAATTGTAGAATGGTAATTAATTATAAATATCACTATAATAATTTTTTTTTGCTGGTCAATTGATCATAAACCAGCTGTATTCTATCATGCACATCAATCACTAGATTATGAATAATCAACTTAGCTAATTTTTATGTATAAAAAAGAATATTCAACCTAATTAGCTTGACAAGGTGATTAAATTAATAAACAAATGTTAACAATGTGGAGCATAATTCAACTCGAGTACTATGCATTAATTAAGAGTTGTTGTTCTGTTTTTTGTTGTTCCCAAGAACGGCTGTACAAATTGGACCGTATGTAAGATTTGGTGAGAGCTAATTAAGAGTAGTATGTACTTTGTTGCCTGCGTAGATACAATGACCAATCGATTGCATTGTGTACATTTTTCCTTTAATTTTCCTTTAATTTTAAGACAACAAGCACATGGCTTGAATTTAAAGCAGCGTATAACAAAGAAATTAATAAAAATATAAAAAATCTTTAACTCTGAAATTTATTAATCAATGATAATTGAAGAAGAAATGTGTTAAAGTAGCTTAATTAAATGACATGTCTTAAACACACAAAAACGAAATAAAAAAACAGAAGAAATCATTCTTTAAAAACAATAAAAATAAACAAGAATAAGGATTTTTTTTAAAAAAAAAGTTATAATTTTCAAACAACATCAATCTAGACTTATCATAACAAAAAAGTCTAAAAATGAGCATTTAAAGTGAATTTTGGACTCTAAGAAAAAATTTGTTGACAATTTCCACCAGCCCAGGGTATGGGTGGGTTTTTAAATTAAATTTTTGAATTGATATAATTTATGACCATCCAACACTCACATAAAAAGTTATAGTCTGTTAAAAAATTATTGTGCCTTTCTTTTTTCAAAAATCTTTTTTTTTTTTTTTGTCTATCGATCTGGTCCACAAAATTATCAACCAGATACCACGTCAAAAAAATTAAAAACCAGATACCATGTCAAAATCCCATATTTTCACTTCACCTTGAGCAGAAATCCTCTCATATCAATGAGGTCTTAGATTCATTACTTTTCAAACATCTTTTTATGGACTAGATCAAGGTATGCTTTTTCCAATGTTTGTACTTTGGAGTATGGAATGCCTACCGAAAATGCTTGAGATACAGACTTGCTTTACAATATCAGTAAAAGTTTGTTTGGGTACGGGTTTAGTAGTGAAGATAGCATTGTGGGAAAAAAAATGTAATGACAGGGAAAAATCTTCATAAAAAAAGAGCATTTGAAATTTAAATTATAAAAACTATAAAATAAAGCTTTTGCAAAAACATCAAAATTAGCAGAACCGATCCAACAGAAAATATAAAACATATGATGATGGTGCCCACTTGAACTTGATATGATGCGTGTACAAAAATAGTTGTAATTAGAGATGATAATTGTATCCGGCTCTACGAAGGTCTGAGGGTATGGATGAATTTTCGTCTACATGTAGACAGAAGAAGGATAAAATATTTTATTTATTCGGAAATTATATTGATACGTAGAATTTTTTAGTTATAAAGACTGATATTAATAAAATTAAAAATATAAGACACTATGTAGACAATGATCTCGTTAATTGATTAGTGAGTGAGGATTGAGAGGACATTACTATTTACATAGACTTGGAGGCGAAGTTTTCAAAACGTTTTCAAAATATTAAGTCAGATGTATGGAGCACATGTAAATGTTAGTGTCAAAGGACCTAAAGAATTATATTGTCCAAAAACTTAAAGTATGTGATCGTTTGATCATAAAGACTACGATACTTATATCAAAGGATAATTTCATCTAAAAACTTAAATTATTATATAAGACCTTGAGATATGATTTATATTATTATCTAATAGTTAACGAGTTAGTAAACGAGAGGCAAATAACATATATATCCTTTATCTTCGTCAACCTCCATTATAATCCCTACCTATCTTACATCTGTATGGACACAGAAATTACTGTTAATTATTATTTTTTTTTCCTAACTTTTACATTTTGGCTGAGGTGTAAGAGTGGGGTGGAGTAGGCAGTTTTTATCTTCCTCATATGCCACAAACTCAAGCAAAGAAAGGTTTGATGAGGCAGCGCTTTCTGACTGAGACAATCGCACGTGTCTTACGCGTTGTCTTGAGCATTAACACGTGTACACTAAGCCTAAAATATTTAATTAAATTTATAAAAAAAATTAACTTCTAAAGTCACAAAAAAATAAAATAAAATAAAATAATCCACGAAGTTAAAGTCGATTTGGGGCTGGGAGGTTGGGTTGTATATAAATAAGTAGGTAGTGCCGATAATATTCTAGCCTTGTTATTTGCTTAGAGTTCAAAGAGGAAGAGTCAGCTTTCTTTCTTTGTCTTTGAGCTCTTAAATAAGTTTTATACATTTTGGTGTTTGTGAGCTTGTGAGAGATGGGAAGGCAACCTTGTTGTGACAAAGTTGGATTGAAGAAAGGGCCATGGACTTCTGAAGAGGATAAGAAACTCATCAGCTTTATCCTCACTAATGGCCAATGTTGCTGGAGAGCTGTTCCTAAGCTTGCAGGTCTCTCCTCTTCATTCCTCCTGTAGCTTAAGATCTTCAGTTTCAGCAGCTCTCTCTTCTTTTCTTTTGGTGGAGGAAGGGAGGGTGGCTCCTGCTATGGTTTCCTGAGTTTAGAAAGACTGATACTTTGATGGTTTTTTCATCCTTGATGAACCATTACAAAGATTTTTCTTAAACTTACCATTGGTATGGTTGGTGTCATTGCAGGATTATTGAGGTGTGGGAAGAGTTGCAGGCTGAGATGGACAAACTATCTCAGGCCAGATTTGAAGAGAGGTCTTTTATCAGAATATGAGGAGAAAATGGTCATCGAGCTTCACGCTCAACTTGGCAACAGGTTGTCTGTCTTTTTCAGTCTTCAGTAGTTCTTTAGTTACAATCTCTCTTTCCGTCGACGTGATCTGATCTCCTGCCGGTCACTCTATATTTGATCATATATGCTTCTGCATTAGCCTTTTTTAATTACTTTTTTGGTAAAATTTTGTCCGATACTGGTAATTTCCATGAAAGATTTAGACCAATTATTTACCATAAATAATAATTTTCTCACGAGAAAAAGGATTAATGTTCAACTTATACTGGTTTTCTTGGACTGCAAAACTGTCAAAGTTTTGGACTTGGCTCCATTTGCATTATTTAATGCAGTACTTACAATCATGAATTGTCAAGACTCTGCAGGCTGTTAATGGAGATTGTCAGCCAAAAGTATTGTTCTCTTTATTTTATTTTTTTATTATATATAAAAATTGGACAAAATTTCAATAAGCATGATCATGTTCTTATGTAATTATTGTCCAAGCTATGCGCTAAATTCTTTGAAAGGACCATTTGTAGTTGGTGTTTGGTGGCCATACGAAGTCACTATGCCTTGATGTGGTCCCTAGTACACCCTCATCATCATCAAACTTACTACTACTTTTCCACTATTTTAACTTTTCTTTACCTTTTTTTTAAAAAAAAATTATATCTTTTAATCATCATTTTGATCAAGTCCAAAACTTATTTTATTGCTGCTTCACAGATGGTCTAAGATTGCATCACATCTACCTGGAAGAACTGATAATGAAATCAAGAACCATTGGAATACTCACATCAAGAAGAAGCTAAGGAAAATGGGCATTGATCCTCTCACTCACAAGCCACTCTCTACTATTGAAACACCACCACCACCAGAGCAAGAAGTTCAACTGCAGAATAATATACAAGAACCAGAGAAGCAAGCTGGACAACAATCTTGTTCCCCTAATGTCATATCTGAACTGGACCAAAACAAGGAACCAGAGACATCATTACAATCAAGTATAACTCGAGAAGAGGAGAATAACATGGCTAGCACATTTGATTCAATGGAGCTAATCAATGGTTTTTGCATAGATGAAGTTCCACTTATTGAACCCCATGAAATTTTAGTCCCTAGTGGACCTTCTTCTGCATCTACCTCAACCTCAACCTCGTCGTCGTCATCATCATCATCTTCATCTTCATATGGTTCAAACAATATCCTTGATGAGTTGCTGCTGCCAGATTTTGAGTGGCCAATTAACAATGTCGACATTGGCTTGTGGGATGATGACTTGAGTAGTTGGGATTTGTTAATCACTGACGTTGACAGTGACAGGAAGCAAGCAACAACTTTTGATCCTTCTCTCAATCAGTGCCCAAGAATGGTTTTGGATCAAGATTCTTGGACATATGGCCTCTTGTGATCATTTGAAAAAACAAAAAAAATAAATCATGTGGGGCTTCTTTGTAATTTGGTCACTAGCTGTGACAGAGAAAAATAAATAAGTCAAGAATCCGGGAAAACCCCATCTTTGATTTAGGCTTTTTTATTTTTTTATTTAATCTTTAGTATAAAAAAAAAAGGAACAAAATCGATATTGAACTTTTGTATATGAATGAAATATATTGGGTTGTCATTCTTTTTCCCACTTGTGTACTTGAGATTGTTATCCTTTCTTCCCTTGTAAACTGTGGTCTTGTGGGCTTCATTTTGCCTTTATTAATAATAATAAAGAATTTTCCAAAATAATAAAACCCTTTATGTAAATTTATTTTGCTTTGCCAATTTGATTTATGCTTAGTCTCTTAGTAGCCTAATTGACGCTCTTAGAGTTTTCGTTGTAGTGTCGAGATGTAGTTTGTAATGCTATAACTAATTTCGATTTCGAATCTTTATGTATGTATAAAATTCTTTAAGTAATTATATTTGTTTTGTGAGTCTGATCAAATAATGAAGAATTGGTTTGAATTTTTGAGTTTGAGATATTTTAAGAATAAAAAAAAATTAGTATAATCTGAAATTTTTTTTTTAATTTACATATTCAAAACTCCTAACAAAATTATGATTTGAACTCATAATCTCTTGCATATAATCAAGAGGCTATTACTAATGAGCTTCTATTGGTTAATTTATTTGTAATTATATGTTTCCTCTTAACTTCTCACCATCCTTTACTTGAACAAAATATAAAATGCTTAACCAATTTTATGCAAATGTGTAACTAATGACTCTCTCAATGGGTGTAAGACTAGGTTTTGTTTCACTATTTTCTTTTTGTTAGACATAGTAGCACGCCAAATAAGAACTTGTCATGTTGGGACTACAAGCACGATGCTTACGTGGGGAAGATGTGCTGGTCTAGCATGTCCTTAGATGTGGACTTTGTCAGCCGTTACCCACTTAGAGATTCTCTCACTTTGATTAATCTCATCCCAACCATTAAGAGTGCTCGACTGCTCATTGAACAATTAAATTCCAAGAAAATGATTTATGACTAGGTTTTTATTTATCAGTAATTATTGAGTTTATTGTAAATGCAACTATGCCATGTCAACGAAAAAAATAAAAAGAATATATTCACTTGCTAAATGAACAACTCACGTATCACTTTCCTTCAAAATTTTAAAATCAACCTCTAACAAGAATCTATCAAACTACAAGGGTTTTTTCTTTTTCTTTTTTCTTTGTTAAACCTAATGTTGCTTAATGCCAAGCAAATCTTCCATCATGATCGGGTTTATCAGTTTGTCTTTCAAATCAATGACTTCTTATTTAACAACTTGACAAGGATGCATGTGTTAATAGCCAATTAAGTGTGTTTTCATGAAAATTGAAGAGGCAAAAAAAACATATATATGAGAGCTAGATTGATCTATTCTATGGATTTTAAAGCATGTCAACTCTTGTACTAATTCTAACGAAAGGTTCATATACGCGAGGACAAACCATTGACGTTTTAAACTATCATTAATTGTCTTAAATAAATGCTTATGTTACTCTCAATATTACTAATTACTTGCCTTTTCTTTGAAAAATAATCTGCCTTTACTTGGCAAGGATTCGAAAGATTGCTTTGTCGTGTAAGTTAAAACCGTACACTACTAGGAACAATGACAAGGGTCCAACCGTATGTGATTTTATAAAATAATTGAATTGCTAGATAAGCACAAGAATATATGAATTTAAACAATATAGTATCAAGGAACGTTCGTGTGATAATTTGTCTTCCCTGCATAGCAAGAAAGAAAATATCATACTACTTGTTTTTAAGTCTTATTCTTATTGTTTCAAATATTAAATTTTTTATCAATAAATTATCAATCCAATAATAAACGAATTAGTTTACATGTAAATTTTTAAATAATATATAAATTTTTAATTTTAAAATCATATTTATTAAGAATGATTAAATTTTATCGTTTTCTTTTCGAACATAATTAGTCTTGTTTCAATATGGAATGGGAATACTTGATTTAAAAAAATATTAAACGTTTAAGTATTATATATAAAATAAATAATATGCACATATCTTCGAAATTCCATGAAATATAAAGTAACAAGAAAAATATACATAATTCAATTTTATGTGCTCACATTTATACACAAAAATAACATGTCATGCTTATAATTTACTACTTAATTATAGGCCATGCCGTTTTCTTTTCTTTTTTAACTTTTTTACAGGATAAAATTCCTCTAAATTCTAAATAATTTACTCTTTCAAAATTGGATCAGGTAATAAGTTATTGTCATCATATATTCTAATAAAGAATTTTTTTTCCTTATGAAGATATCAATTTACCTATACAGATTTGCTTAATATGTAAAGGTTTAATCTCGATATACAAAAGTTGATCAAAAATATTTTTAAGTTTTGCCGTTTAAACAAATGATTTCCACTTCCTTTTGATGTGTGATATATGAGAATTAATTTAAGAAGATAATCAATATAAAAACCCAAAAAAAAAAAAAAGATTGAGTGAGTCAAAATTTCTTTCAAGTTAAGATAAAACGGTACATGAGACAAAAAAAATTAATAAGATTATAGACAACTAACTGCAGCTGAATAAGATAAAAATGAATTTTGACCGGTAATCTGTTTGTTCAGCCGAATTATCCATTCTCGACAAATGAAAACATGTCCGTCCGTACGGCAGGCGTTGACCCCAGAGCTGTTAGATTGCAGCAGGTCATCGCTAATGGTAGACGATTCAACGAAACATAAAACCTTGGACTTTAAGCCATACATGAATATTCGTGAAAAAAAAATATATAGGCAACTCGAGCTTCGGTAATAAATAACATTAATTTTTTTATTAAATATTTGGTTCATTTGTCTTGGGAATCGTGCAATAGATAATCTGGTTTTGATTACTTAATTAATCTGTGGTCCATGTGCTATTTGGTAATTTGGCTTCATTTTTTATTTTTTTTGGAATGGGATAAGATTTTTTTTTTCTTTTCATTGCTTGATAAATTTTATTCTGCCAGGGACAGGAATTGCAATTCTACAAAACATGGGGGATCATATGTTAACTGGAATTTATTTCTTCATTTTTGGGGTATTAAGATTCTGGTATAAGTATATTCCATTTTTCATGAATTTATTTTTAAGAAGATTAAAATGTAGACTTTTTACATAAAATGAATCCAAATTCTATTTCCAATTACTTTTAGTCCAGAGATGGATTTTTTTTTTTTTTTTTTGAGAAAAATTGACCCTTTAGTTCTGCCCCTTTTATTTTACATAATTAATTTGCTTTTTACAATTTTTTATCTTGTTTTCTTGGTCATTGAGAGTTAAAAAAAAATGTTTCAATTTTGTTTTTTTTTTTTTATAAGCAAATGTGACAAATCTATTAACCACCGGATTTAGAAGCCAAAATGGTGAGAAAATAAATGCTACAGTAAAACCTATTTTTAAAACCATTTATCATTAAAAAAAAAGAGAAAATTGTTTTTTTAATCAATTGGGACAAATTAATGCATATTTAAGCAAATTTTGATGTAATCGATCAAAATTTTAAAGTATATGAGTATTGACTTTTTGATGCAATAGTAATGTAAATTTTTTTTTTAGAAAAAGATCTATACTTTCCAAAATTTAGCAAAATGATATTTTGATGATTAAAAAATTATTATATACATCTGTTTCATTCACCTAAAATTGTTTTAATTGTTTGGTCTAATGCACACTATTCTTTATGATTGATTATTACGAGTAAATTAAAGAATAATGGCTTAATTTTTTTTTATATATAATATGATAATTCTCCATTGTGTTTTCATGTCCATAATTGAATTAAATTTATCCTTAAATATAAATTAAATGTCTAATTTATTCTTCGACAAGATTTTCGAGTTAAAATATCAAAATTAGTCACACGATTTATACATAAAAACTTTATATTTGACTAGTTTGCAAAAAACATTTTGGGAGCCAAAATATTTATTTACAAATAATGTAAATAATTCTAGTAGTTTGGCTTGAAAATCTTAACAAATGAATAAATTGAAAATTTAATATAAATTTAATAATATAATAACTCAATTAGAAACATAAAGATAGATTGAACTATTAACCCTAAATTAAATTAAGGTAATTTAGATTTGGATATAAGATCTTTGGTCATATATATGTTTATAAAATAGAAGAGAGTTGTTTTTCTCTTACGGTTTTTTCTAAAGAACAAAATGAAATAGTTTATTAAAACTTTGAGAAAAAAGAGCTTAATCTTTATTCCTCCTCTTCTAATCTAATATACGAAGTTAGGAAAGAAAAAAACCAAATTACCTTCTAACTAGCCATAACACTAATAACAATTGCACAAGTCGATTACAACAAAAAACAAACTATAGTTAATAATAAAATAAATAAACTAACTATAGTCAATAAGACTTGTAGGTAAGCACTAATATCCCTCCTCAAGTCTGGAGCATAAAGATCGAAGATGCCCGAGCTTGGAAATTTGGAATTCAAAGTTTGTAGGTGCTAAAGGTTTCGTGAAGAGCAAGCTAATTAGCCGAACGAACTAAAAGGAGATGCACTATATCTTGCATAAGCTTTTTCCTCATAATGTGACAATCAATTTCTACATATTTAGTCCTCCTATGAAAGATAAAATTTTTGGCTATATGAACTGTTGATTGATTATCATAAAAAATCAATGTTAATTGAGGATGATGACGTTATAGGTCTTTCATTAAGTATAAGAGTCATTACAATTCATATGTCACGGATTCAAGAGCTCTATATTCTGCCTTTGATGAAGATTTAGAGACCGTGAGTTACTTCTTGGATTTTTAAGATATAAAAGATGAACAAAAAAAAATGCAATATCTACTTACATATCTTTATTGTCCACACAAATAACCCAATCTAAATTAGAAAACTCTTTAAGTCGAAGCTGATTATTAGATGCAAAAAAATCCCTGTCCAAATATACCTTTAATATATCTAAGGATTCGGTGGTACTGTAATAAAGTGTGTTTGAGTTGGCTTGTCTAGAAACTAAATATTTGTTGAACAATATATGATAAATCGAGCCTAGTGTTAGTCAAATAGAGTATTACGCCCACCAACCTTATATATTCTGTGATGTTAAAAGAAGAATCCTATCTCCAAAACTTAGTTTGATAATAGCTATCATAGGAGATTTAATAGGCTTTGCACAAAATAAAACCTCGTATCCTACAATAATTCCGGAGCGTATTTTCTCTTGTACAAACCGATCCCTTTAGAAGATCTTGAAAATTAAATATCTAAGAAATATTTCCAATCTCCTAAATCTTTGATTTTGAATTCCTCGAGTAGAAAAGTCCCTACTATTGTAATTTCTCTCATGTCATTACTTACTAGAATGACATCATCAACATAAATGAGTAAGATAATAAAGAAAGTGCCTATAGACCTAACAAACAGAGAAGGATCAAAAGCACCCCGAGTGGAACCTTTAGCAACAAGAGCAATAGATAGTTTTGCACACCGTTGTCTATTTGTCCGCTTAAGTCCATAAAGAGACTTTAATAACCTGTAAACCTATCTTGCTTTAGAATTGTGAAACCCTAATGAAAAATTCATATACATTTCTTCTTAATGATCTTGATGAAAAAATGCATTATTAATGTCCAATTGGTATAGGTGTTAATTGTTGATAGCTGCAACTCGCTAATAAGGTTATGATAGTAGTCATTTAACCACTAGAAATAAAGTGTCTAGGTAATCAACACCTATATGTTGTGTACACCTTTAGCCACTTTCTAGTGATCCATATGTTTTATGCTTAATTTTATACATCCATTTGCACCCTATGCTTTGTTTATTAGCAGGTTAATTAGTAAGTTTACAAGTGTAATCATCCTGCAAAGCTTTAATTTTCTCGCATCCATAACCGATTTCTAGCGGTTATGCTTTAATGGTAAGTTCTAAGTTCGATAGCTATGGAAATACCAACACCAAAAGGCTTTATGAGAGGGTGAACAATGAGAATATGAAAAAACAGAAGATAAAAGATGAGTAGAACTTGTTTGAGGAAAAGAAGTACAACGAACTAGAGGCGAGCTTGAGATAGTTGACTATGTAAAGCACAATGATAATCTTAAAGATAAGTAAGTGCAATTTTAGATCTTGTTAGTCTTCTTGGAGGGTCTTGAGAAGGTTCCGAAATATGTAAAGGTGAATAAATTAAAAGAAGAATAGAAGTATAAGGCAATATGGAATCAAAAGAATTTAGGACATTATTTGACATATGTAATATAGTAAGAAAAAAAGAAGAAAAAGAATTACAAATGTCCGAGAAAGAATAATAAAGAATGTTAGGAAGCACAAAATCAAAAGAAAAAGCATAATGTTTTGATGAATGAGCAAATGGAAATATTTCTTCATAGAAAATAATATCTCTAGACAACCGAGACATTGTCATTATGAAGATTATATAGTTTGCAATCTTTGGTTCCAACAAAAAACCTAAGAAATTACACTTGAAAGATTTGACTTCAAATTTAACCTTACGATCAAGGTTAGATGCAATGCAAAAAAAATCTAAGACGGTAATGTTGGTATAAGTAGGAAGTTTGCCAAATAAGAGCTCAAAAGAGGTTTTATTATGTAACACGGATGTGAAAAGTTTGTTAATCAAATGGATTGCATGTAGACTATAATCTATCCAAAAAATAAATGGAAGATGGGCATGAAATCAAAGAGCCCTAGCAACATTCAGTATATTTTGATGCTTTCTTTCAAAAATATTGTTTTGTTAGGGTGTTTTGTAAGGTACCTTTTGAAGCAAAGAAAGAAGACATATTAAATTTTTAACCATTGTCTCGTTATAATAATGAGAATTTGGGCAAAAAAACTAAGTTTCAATAAGGGTATAAAAGTCCTTAATAAGTTTTCCGGTTTCACACTTGTGTTTCGAGGAAGACCCAAGTTGCTCTACCGTAATCATCAAATATGGTGAGAAAATATTGATATCCGAGCAAAGAAGGAGTTGTCACAAGCCTCTAAATATCAATATGAACAAGTTCAAAATGCTTTGTAGAATAAAAAAAGTAATGAGAAATGGAAGTCCTTTTTGTTTTGCATAATGACAAACATCACACTATTTATTAGAGATGTTAACAAGAACATCTCTATTGAAAGAAGGCAAAATAGCTAGGCTGGAATGAGAAACATCTCATAGCCTAAAATGCTATACATTAACAAAAATGTATTAACTATTGAATTGTATTTGAAATAGAATGATGAAAAGTATTAAATGTAGTAGAAAAAGAAAGTGAAGTCGTCAACCGATACAAGCCTTGTGCTCGGTTGTACCAATCATCCTCTTGGATTGATGATCCCGTATGACATAGAAATTAGAATGAAATAACAAAGAACAATTTAATGTCTTGGTCAGTCGCTCGACATAAATAAGGTTGAAAGAAAAGCTAAGGAAAAAAAAATATTATGCAATGTGAGTGTAGAAAAAAACTCTACTAGTGCCAACATGTGTGACTACCACTTATTGACTAGTAGGTAATTTGATAAAGACATAAAAAACAGGTCTATATTATGAAAAAAATGTAAAAAACAATCAATGTGATTTGGAGCACCAATGTCTAATATCCATAATACTAGATTATGACTAATAAAACCGTAAAAGGAATTATGTTTACTCGTTATGGAAGAAAAATTAGTGGACAATGCATTAATACCAACATAAGTAGAGGATTGTTGAAGAGGTTGAATTAAGGCTATAAGTTTACAATATTGATCCGTAGTGAAGGTAGGTCTGAATAGAACAAGAACTACCGAAGTAGTAGGTCGAGTATTGAAACCCAAACTAGATGAAGAACCGGTAGCTTCGGGAAAAGAACTTTGTATGCCAACAGAATCTAAAAAATAAGATATTTTACCGGGATGACTTTTTGAAAAAATCATTAGTGTATTCTCCAAGACATTCTCAAAAACAAGAATCGGTACCATATGTGGTCTCAACCTAATTAGCAAATCCATTAAAAACACCTTGAGATTTGTCAAAAGGCATGTAACCTTGTATAAACCCATGTTTTTTATAGCTCATGTACATGATATGACCACTAAAGGCCATAAAAAAAACACATTGAAAACTTAATTCTACCATTATAAAACTGATTTTCTTTGACCGGAAAAATCACCTCGCGCAGAGAAAGGAATGCCTCTACTACCATCGGATTGAGATACATATTTATTAAAAAAGATAGCACTCGGGACTAGTGTTGCCGGTAGAACTTTGCGTACCAAAACCTACACCGAGTTGTCGTTCATGTTGAATGACCATGGTAAAAAAAAATTTCATGGATGAAAGAGGATCCATTAACAAGATTTGAGATCTCATGGTTGCAAAATTGTCATTTAAATCTTTCAAGAACTTGATTATATAGTCATAATTCTAAAAATCCCTAATTTTTTTAGAAGTTTCACAATAACATCAAGGATCACAAGAACCCGGAGGTATGGTTCTTAAATTTGAGAACTCATACCATAGCATCTTTCAATGTGTGAAATACTAAATAACAGGAAGTACATCTTGGTTATAGGAATAGATTTCTTCTTAGAGCTTTGTAATTCTGAAATAGTCACCGTGAGAAAAATGATCATGTAGATCCGTCCAAACTTTCAAGATAGTATCCAATCAAAGAACACTTCATGCAATCACATAGGAAAGAGATTGAACAAGCCAAGATAACACCATCGTATTGCATCTCTCTCAAACGAAATAGAGAGAATAAGATTTGTTTGGTACTTTGATAGTTCCATCAACAAACTTTAACTTGTTCTTAGAGACGAGAGACATCCTCATAGATCGATGTCAAAAGTGATAATTGGAATCAGAAAGTTGAGAAGGAACCAAGCACAAGAGAGGGATTCTCATTGTCATGGAGAAAATAGGGACTATACATCTATTCTTCAAGTCCGAAAACTATAGAACTCGAAGAAGAAGTAACTCGGAGGTGTAGTCATTGCAATGAAAACAACGATTTGCAAAAGAAAATGAGTGTTTGGTTGCTCGGAAAATTCAAGAAAGCAAAAGAAAAGCTCAAGAAAGACGAAGAAAGAGCTCGATACCATATCAAGATTTTGAAAAAAAGAGCTTAATCTTTATTCCTCCTCTTCTAATCTAATATACCAAGCTAGGAAAAACAAAAACTAAATTACCTTCTAACCAGACCTTTAACTCTAATAACAATTGTACAAGTCAGTTACAACATAAAACTAACTATAATTAAGAATGAAATAAATAAACTAATTATGATCAGTAAGACTTGTAGATAAGCACCGATATAGTTGAGCAATTAATTTTCTTCTTTTGATTTTCTTTTTTACACACACCCGGATAGATTTTTCTCAGACGAGCACTACAAAGATTGAATTTTCCGTAGGAAAAGACGAAGATACAATGATTTGTTAGTCAAATAGGCACACATCACAGTCAATTTGTGACTAATTAGCAAAGACAAAAAAATAAAAAAAATAGGTAGACTTCCACCTGAAAATGACTATGAAAACGCGGTTAGACCAAAATTCATCAGCAACTTGAAGTAAAAATATTATCCAATTAAATCCTCTAGATAGCCTTTAAAATTATCCAGATACCATTCAAAGACAAGGCGGTGGAAAACTGGAAATGGAATCACAACAACTTTGAATTCAAATCCCTTTTCTTACCTAATGTGAAACCGTGTTAAAATGATTCGACACCTTTTACTAGACTCTTAATTTTCCTACTGGATCTTTCTTTTTCACACACGCACTTTCTACCTCCCTTTGTTCGATGTTCTTGTCTCTGCCTCCACAGAATATCATCTATACATAATCACAAGAAATGACTCAGTAGTAGAAGTTTTGAGTTTTCAAGTAAAAAATCCATCCATTTTTGAATCTTACTTCCTGTGGTTTTTTATGATCACTATGAGGTTTAACTAGGTCTCGTTTTCTAATTCTAAAAGTGTATGAGGCTTAAAATTTTCTGATTTAAAACCAATCCAGACCCTTAAAAAATTATTGAGAATTAATAATTAGTTTTGAATTTTTTTTCAAAAAAAAAAAAAAAGAATTTCATGTCGAATACAAGAAAGAGAATATAAAATAGAAATTTCTCATTCTATGTACATTCGGTTATTGTATTAAAGGACCATCTCACCTAAAAGCTTAAGTCGATAGGTGAGGCTCTAAAATATAATTTATACTAGTCTCTAACACATCCCCTTAAGTGAAAGGTCCAACATTTGGGGCATGAAACTTGCACGAGTCTATATTGCCTTGTGCTTAACACTTGAGAAATCGGGGATGGTGAGACTTGAACTCGAGACCTCAAGGTCAACCGAGCTCGATACCATATTAAAGGACCATCTCACCTAAAAGCTTAAGCTGATAGGCAAGACTCTAAAATATAATTTATACTAATCTCTAACATTTAATGATTGATTGGTTCAAAATCTTACACAAAAAAGAAATTTAATTTCAGTGTGCAAAAACTTATATGAGGATATCTTTTGTTCTTTTTTTTTCTCCTTTTTTACCGATTGTAATTATAAACTTTCTTAGTTTTATTATAAACAATAACCTATCTCAATCTATTAAAAAAATAAATAAAAAGGACAAAAATGTTGCTTCACATCCTTGTTTGTGAGACCTGAATCAAAATTTTAATAATTGAATCTCTCAAGGACTCACGAATTGCATGCCCAAATATGTCTGATCACTTTTGTCCAAATCCATCACTTTTTTTTTTTTTTTTGGAACAAGTCCAAACTATGATCTAATTAAACAACTGCGAGAAAAATACTAATTGCAGCAAATAATCCCGGTTGATTATCGTACGTCAGGAATTGCATGCAAAAGTCTTGTTTATACTTCCGTTTTCACATATATATATTTGAGCCATTTCCGGCTTTTCAAATTATAGTACTTTTTTAGCTAGAAGAAATCCTGTAAAGTTAATTATAAGATAACAATTTTTTTTATAATCTTTATGATATTTTACAATATGTATATTGTCAAAACACATAATACATATTGTCAAAATACATAATTTTATGTCGTATGATTCTTTTTGTTTTTTTATCTTATTTTATATTTGATTTGTTTCCCAACAGTAATTAACTAAAAGAAAATGATTCTAACAAAAGAATGATAAAAAAAAAGTGAGAATGGTGATAAAAAAAATGGTTACAATGAATTGTTGACTCCAAAAGCCAATCATTTCGAGGACGGTGGCCTATGTAAACCTCCCAATTTGCAATTCATATCGGTTCCATCAATTTCATTTAGGTTGGATCCTGTACGTTTTATAACTATTCCAACCCTATGCATGCTCATCATTCTCCATGTCTCCATCTCACCCTTCAAGACACATGGCAATTTAAGAAGCTGCCACATTTCCACTAACGAAATAGACAATGACAAGTCAAAACAGAGACCACCATAATCTTAAAGTCACTTCCTAGTATCTATGGGTGTGCCATGTGGCACATGAGAATGGATTCCCATCACCTTCCCTAGCTAATGTTTTAACCGAACCCTAAGAACGCGATTCTTTGACAAAAAGCCTGCTTGTAGTATTGTGTGTGTTTTTATGGGAGCTTTGAACATTACACCATCAGATTCTGATACTTTTTTCAAACATGAGGTCTGCCGGATGTCATCATGAAACCCGTGTCCATCGACATTCATGACTTCGGCAGTTTTTTTTTCTTTTTCCTTTTTTTTGACTTCGGCAGTTAAAGGTATATATCCTTTATCACATAAAGATTGATTTTTTTTTTTACTGTTTATACACGTTAAGAAAAAAATTAATTATTGTACTATATCAATATCTTTAATTTATATTTATCTAAAATATTTATTTTTAGAAACTGTTTGTTATTATTTTTAATCTTACATAACATTGAATTAATATTAATCAAGAGTATTTTACGAAAATACATTATTTATAAATAGAAAGATAAAGATAATTAATTATTTTATCATATCAATATTTTTTATTCATATTTTTTTAAAGTATTACTAAAAGGCTATTTCAATATAAAAATTTAAATTATTAAATGAGGCTACACAATTTTTTTTTATTACTCTAATATATTCCTTTAAATGAAAGTTTTTTAAACTTAAAACTAACTTGTACAAACCCATGCATCATCATTACATGTTTAATTAAATAATTTTTAACAAGAGATAATAGAGGTGGAGAGATCGAAACTCGAGACTATTTGATTATCAAAATTAGAATATCATATTGAACAATCATCTCAATTAAAAAATTTAAGTTATTTAGTGAGATTTTAATAATGATTTTATATTACTTTTTAATAAATATTAATTTTTAAAAATTATTATTTATTGAATTTAATTATGCATGACAAGAAGTAAATATTAACCAAAAGTATTTTATGAAAGTACAGTGCTTATAAATAAAAAGATAGCTAATTTATTTATAATAGAATAATTACTATATAAAATAAATGATATTTTTTTTTTGAATAATTGAGTTTGACAATACTAGTTGATATTGTAACATATATATATATATGGCTTAACGTTTCGAAAATTCATGAAATATATATATTTTTAATTATTTTAGCTTGTTCTTTAAAAATTATATATAAAGGTCACCAACTAAGCCTTTAATAACAATATTAATATCGATTTGACTTTTCAATCAATGTTGACATGACAGTCACGTAGGTATGACACATAGACTTTAACAAGCCACGTAGGATCCACGTTAGCCATGCCACTCGCTTATGTGGATTGTACATGACTTGCTAAAGTCCACGTGTCATGCTAATGTGTATTCTACTTGGCTTGCTAGAGTTCATGTGTCATGCTTCGTCACCTTTTCATGTCAACATTGATTAGAAATTTTGTCAAAAAACTAGATAGGTGCCGTATTGTTATCGAATGCTTAGTTAATGACTTTTCCGTATAATTTTTAAAAAATTAACTAAAATCATTAAAACATGTATAATTAGTGATTTTCTGGAACATTAAACATATATATATATATATATAGAGAGAGAGAGAGAGAGAGAGAGAGTTTTTATAAATATTGTCATAACCCAATTTTGGGTTCCTTTAAAGGAAAAAAAAACGCAACTAAAAAAAAAATACCGAAAACCTAAAAAGAAGAAGCCAAACACGCCCTAACCCAATAACCATACCCGATTACTCGTTTACCTAGTCTAAACTTTTGAGCCTCAATTAATCATTTTTCGATCAGATTTTAACCCCCGATCAACATACCCACATGTAGCCTATCACTAGATCGGTCCATCAACACCGATTAGAGAGAGAAACAATCACGAAGGAGAGAGAAATCGAAGATCAAACCATCACAACCCGACCCGAAACAATACCCGTTCGTTTCTCCCAACTCCAGATCACCAACACAAGAACCATCACCACGGAACCGATTGCCAGTCTCCCCCAAGTGTTTTCATATAAAACTCTCGACCCAACGACATCGAAAAACGGCTTAATTGAGCTCAACTCGTTTTTGACCCGTTTTGAAAAACTCGAAAAAATTGGTCGATCTAGAAGGTATCGAAGGTTCTAACCACCACATACATCTTTCTCTCGACCTCCCGAGTCAATCGGTGGGCTTAGAATTCCAAGAGGAGATCGGATTCATTGCCGGTGAAGAAGGGAGATCCGACCGGACCTTCGGAGGCTCCGATCTCCCTCATCCGACGTCGTCTCCGGATGAGACCACCACCGTTAGACTCGTCGTGACCGGATCTACAAGCCGGGGTGGTCCATGCACCCGAACGATCACTGGAAGGCGAACGGTCACTTGGCGGTGACTCTCGGCATTATAGGGGCATTTTGGTAATTTTACAATGTATGTGAATTTTGGACTATTTGATTTATTTTATGTGTTTTGTAGTTTTATTTTATTTTACATATGCATGTTAGGAAATTTGAATATACATAGTTGTGAAATTTATTTTAACATGAGATTTTTTTTCTTTTTTTTTATGATTAAAATATTGTATCAACGAGTCTCCTATTTATTAGGGACGAACGATAATCTCGATGTATTTAATTTTTTGAAACTTGTTTCAATTGATTTTAGTTAATTAAAATTGTAAAGTTTTCTTTAAAAAATAAAAAATAAAAAATATGTTTTTTCGACGAAGTCTCCTATCTAATAGGGACCGACGTCCCCAAAAATCTAAAATTCGCTCCTATCTAATTGGGATCGACATCACCAAAAAATCATTATTTAAATCAAGATATCCTCCGACACACCGGTTGTGTCAAGAATTAAAGTGAATCCGATGTTTGAATAGACGTGTCGCCCGATGAAAGAGACCGATGATCGTTTCAATACGATGCCACACTCAAAACTAAAAAATTCAATTTGTCTAAAAAATGGGAGATTAAGAATCGAGAAAATAATTTGACGTAAATAAAATATTTTAGGAGATAAATTTAAAGCTAAACCGGACGTGGTACCTTTTTTCAAAAAAGACGCTTTTGGGTGATCGATATCTTCCCAAAAGCGTAACCAACGCCTTACAATAAAATCTCCGAACTAGTGTTCGTTTTAGGTTCCTAGTTCCTTCAATACTAGGTGGCGACTCTAAACTCCGTAAATAAACTTCTAAATATTCAACTTAATTTTTAGATATTTTCAAGGAGTCCCGTCCGACGTCAAGTAGTGACGAATGGCGACTCCACTAGGGACTAGAGTTAGGCCATAGGTTTAGTTTTTTAATTTATCTTCTATATTTATTTTTTGTCATTTTATTTTCTGATTTTTATTTATTTATTTATTTATTTGTATATATATTTAAATTTTTGTCTTGCACGTTTATTATTTGAATTGGGTTGTATGCCTTTTTTTTTAATTGTTGAACACACCACGAAGGAAACCCCTAAAAGCTCGGACCCGAGCCGAACCCAAATAGGAATTAGATAGAGTGATTTGGAGGCAAGTATGATGAAAGTCTATCGATGCTCTTTCAAACTCTCGTTTAGACGGAAACTCACCCTATACATTGAAAATGGTGGAATAATCTTCCCCTACCTCCTAACGTATAAGGTTAGAGGCTGGATTACCCCATTGGTAATTTAGGCGATCTAGAGGCTTGAAAAATCTTTAAGACTAGTCGAGCTTTGCCCAACCATAGAAAAGCTAGATCCTATCTCGTTAGGGTTAACCTAATTAAGAAACGAATTATTATCAAATGATGGTGATACTAATCTTTGGTTTTACAGAGTTATCCTTCATATTAAATCATGACGAAGAAATTAGAAATGAGGTCGAGGATTTTAGGGTCGGATCCGAGTGGGCCCAAAATGAGGAATGAGATTGTCTACCCTTGAATTTCGTATCGGGATCGTAAAAAAAAAAAAAGGGTTTCGCCCTTTGTGTGCTTATAATAAGAGTGGTTTCATCATTTCAAAATCAAGTCACGACCGAAATTGGAGGCATACATATCTCTCTAATCGCCCAAGTATCCGTGGGGTGATTTTGCCATGAGTGAGTACTAGCTTGGTCTAACCCATCCTTGACAGGATTCTATCATGATTTAACGAGCAACAAAATAAAGAAAGGTATCCAACCCAGTTCAAAATCATGCATTTGCATTAAGTATTTATTTGTATATATTTCTTTTGTATTTTCGAGTGAAGTAAACATAGGCCACTCCACTCAATCCCCTCCGCGCATCTACAACACTCGACTTCGGGCTCGCCAAATGGAGAATTAAGAAAGACCGTAACAAGAGCCAATTAGCCGATAAGAATTTGACTCGCCGAAAGAGAGTATGGCTCGGATGACATCCCTATTAGAGCAAGCATTAAGAGGGAGAGGTAGCTTGAATCAAGGATAACCCGAAGTACAACATGTTGTTCTATCACCTCATCGGCCGAGGCCTTCCAATCACGCAACTCGTTCATGCCGAAGGTTCACATCCTACCGGGACCTTCGCTTATCCCATGGACCCAAGAGTCCCGCAAATGCCTTCGATCGATCTTGCAGCTCATGGTCCTAAGGCGGTTGAAGTCCCAAGTATGGACATACTCATGGCACTAGAAGAACGCCTAAGAGCGAGTAGATGAGGAGGATGCCTACGATCCAACTAGGGCCTCCGAAATGTGTTTGGTGCCCGATATAATGATTCCAAGAAAGTTCAAGGTGTCATATTTTTCCAAGTACACTAGAACCCGAGTGTCCCATGACTCACTTGAGAATTTATTGTAGCAAGATGGCGAAGTGGTTCACGATGAAAAGCCGTTAATCCATTTCTTTCATCGAGCCCGGGAGGTTCAACTTTGGGTCGATACATGAGGTTAGAGGGATTTAAGATTTGAAGGTGGAAGGATTTAGCCGATGCTTTTCTCAAGCAATACAAGTTTAACATGGAAGTGGCTCCAAATCGTTCGGATCTTCAAGGTATGGAAAAAAAGCTAAAGAGACCGTTAAAGGAATACGCGCAAAGGTGACACGAGGTAGCAGCTCAAATCTATCCACCATTACCGGAATATGAGTTAATCTCGATATTTTTGAATACTTTCAAAATACCCTACTTTGAGTATTTGATTGGTAATGTTTCAACTAACTTTACCGATATTGTTTTCATAGCTAAGAGGGTGGAACAAGCAATTAAAGCTGGAAAGATTTTTAAAAAGACAAAGGGCGACGATAACAAGAGAACGGATAAGGA